CTGTATCAGCTTAAACAGAATCTTGTGAGCATATTGCTTTGCTTCTTGGATCAGCCTAACAATCTAAGACTGGCCAATTCAAATTAAGCCTTAAATAGATTTCTCTAAACAGCAACAGTTTGAAATAGGTTCTCAGACTTGGGCCAGAGTGAGATGTTGTTCTCAGATCTCAAGTAATGAATCAATGCCTCTTAAAAGAGTCTGATATGTAATTTCTTGTTGCCAAGAGACCCTTCCCACATAGCAGGCCTCCTTTCCAGCTTGGGTATTTTGTTACAGTATTGTTCATTCATATAGTCCCTAAGTAGTAAGAGGCAACAGATGGATAGAGTTCATTTATTCTGAATTCTACATCCCATAATATCACACTTGAAAGCATAACATTTAAGCAGTTAATTGTACTATAAGATTCCTTAGCTATATAGCGGTGGTCAGAGAGTTTACTAAAAGTTTTTCCTGAGTTTATGAAATAAACTAAATGCCCAACTGGGATGATTAAAAACAGAAATGCTCCATCTCAACACAGGTAGCCTCCAACTCACCACTCTTATCACTTCCATAGAAGGATTTCACCCTGCCCCAGCTCTCTTCTTCTCACAGTGGAAGACAGTCTCCCTAACATGACCATGGGAGTCTGCTGGGAAAAATTCCATAGGAAGTATGTGGGCTTAGAAACAGGGGAAGGGACAGAGCTGTGAAACCTGGGAAGAGCTAGGGGCAGCTGACCCAGGGGCAGAATCCCAGGCAAGAGTGGCCTGCCTACGTGCTGACCAACCAACTGTGGGGCCCAAAATAGCCTCCCCGCAAGGCCTGCATTTCTTTCACTCAATACTGGGTTGTGCTGCTTGAAATTCCACCATTTAGAGCAGCATCCTGGCAGTTGTTGTTGCAGAAGAAGGGACTTCATTAGGTGCTAAGGAAGGGGTCACTGGAAGTAGGAGGGTGGCAAATAACAGCTACAATCGCTATTTATGGAGCACAGGTTTTATAAAGCAGTATCTCATTTAACCCTCTCATCAGTCTTGCAAGGCAAGCTTACTATTATCTTCATTTACAGTGGGGGAACAGAGGCTTAAGAGATGTTGAATAATAGCTTTAAATCTCGGTTAATGGCAAGGGTGTCAGATCATATCAGACCAAAATCCCGGTCTGATATGAACGTGTTACCTTGAGCTCTTGCTTGCTGACACCTCCCTCCAATTTCTTGTTCTATGCTCTCCTTTTGCAGATTATGGGACATGGCACCCAGGGCAGAGACTCTCTCCTAGTGATACTGTGAATTATAGTTCAGTTACATTGTGATTTACATAGGTTTTTGTGGGCCAGACTGAGAACTTGATAGCTTGATTTAGAAGACAGTTTCTATATTTTTGTCATTTGCTACTGAACTGGTGGGCTATAATCCCATTATACTACAATAACTTGGCAATTTTCTATAATTACAGTTTAACAACACTCTTCTCGTTGGCTTCCAGTGGTACAAAAAATTAAGCCCACTTTACCAGCTCAAGGCTCCTTTATGTTTAGTTTTTCATGTACATTTACTAGAAAGTATGTTCCATTAGGGCAGGAACTTTCTGGGTATTAGGCAAAGCAAGGTAGCCTGAGCACCTAGGACAGCGCCTGGCACGTACAGGCATACACTGACTGTTGAATAAATATGTGCATTTAGATTGGGAATTTTTAAAACTGCATGCACTTGATACATTTGTGAAATATATTTAGAGCTGAGATATAGAATAAGACTATATCATTGGCTGAAGACCTTCCTCCCAGATACAGTGTTTTCCTCTTCCATTATAAAGTACATTTCAGGAGTTTAGGGAAATTGGTCCCAGCTTCAGCAGACCTGCCTCCTGCTATCATGGAATTTTAGTACTTTGGACCAGTTGATTTTCCTTTTTAGGTCTCAGGAGCAGAAAGGGTTTGCTTTCAACTCTAAAATGCTATGACATCTGAATGTTTCACCTTATAGATTTCTCACACTTGTTTTAATTGCCCCTTGGATAGGATATTGGCAAAAACAAAAATAAATGAACAAAGATAGCTAAAGAGAAATGACTCAAAAGGAAAATCACAATTCCTTGAGTTTAGACAGGTTAGAAGTTGCATAGGAGGCAGCCATGGACTGTGCCCTTTATAGTCAACCTCTAGGCAAGCAAGTTAGCCAATTACAAATTCTCCTTGTTTATATTAGTTCATACTGATATAATTCAGAGTTTTTCATTTACTTGGAACCAGCAGAACATATGCAGTCTCAAAGGTAAGTGTGTGTACCAGGTAGGGTCCAGTTCCTATTCGAAAAGCACAGAATGACTATTAATGTGGCACAAATGATCTGCTCAATCACTAAAAGACTAGATGAGCCAGAATTTATGGTAATTTCTTTTTGTAAATGAAATGCAGTGACTTAATGTTTTTCTACATAAGCTTTAACCAGTTGCCCTGTGTACGGTGCAGTATATAAACATCAGCACTGTGACAGGGGCGTGTTGACACTCGTTGAGTGTTCAAAGTCTGCACACTGTCATTATTTTGCCTTCTCTGCACTGACAGCTTGCTACCAAATTGAACATACCTGGAAAGAAGTCAATTTGGCTTAGAATGCAGCTCGGGTTCTCTTTGGGAACATCATTCAGGTTTTCTCTAGGATCTACTGGGTCTTTCCATTGATAAAACAGAATGGGGTGTGTTCTGCTGCTTGAGATTGTAAGCAGGATAGTCAGAATCCCACTTATTGATGACATGGCATTAGTTTTGGAAAAAGGAAGTAATCATTCCCCCTACAACATGCCCCCCCCACCAGTGCCAACTTGCTTGCTTTGTGACTGCCATACCTTATATAAGCCACAGATTTTCTAAGGTTATTGCTTAGCCAAAGTGATTCATCCCTGGCTGTACAATAGACTCACCTGGGGGAAAATCTAAAAATCCAGATGCCCAGGCCACACCCCAAATCTGGCAAATCAGAATTTCCTGGGGTGAGGCCTATCAGTAGTCTCTGATGTGCCCCAGGTGATTCTAATCTCTTAGGAGCATTTTTCCAAAGGACAGTTAGGATAAGAGTGTGAAGGCCAGGGAGCAAATCTCACAGTCACTGGCATTGTGAAGCAAAAAGTCCTCCCTTACAGACTGTTCTCTGAGTTCTAAAACAAGTAAGTCAAAGTCATCATGTTGGCTGAAAGAAGAGCTAGGAGCAGGAGACAATATTAAATGAGTTTACCTACATAGGTCACTAATATGACAAATAAAATTCCCTGAATTAATCAAGTTGTAATCAGGCACAGTCATTTTTCTCTCCAGAACATTGAGGTTAGAGAACCATTATCTGCCACCGTGTTCCTATCCCTCTCACCTGCCTGGGCAGTTCCAATGAAGAGTCAGTTACTCAGCTCTTCTGGGTACTGCTTGGAAGACAATAGCACTAGGGGCATTTTAATTTAAGTTTCTATTGAAGACATATTTATATACACTAAATTTGTGACCGAAATGAAAGTCTTTAAAAATAGGTTTATACAGTTAATGGACAGAAATTCTTGGAATGGGTACTTTAATTTCAAGGGATTGACTATGTTCTTTCTTTTTTTTTTTTTTTT